GAACGTTGCGCGGGGCACCACACCAATCCGAATGATCCCCCACAGGCGCGTTGTTACCAATTTGCACCATCGTGTACCAAGCTGCAACAAGCGATACGCCTTTCTGGAACTAGTGCCTCCCCCTCTTCGATCCACCACGGTTTCCCCTGTCGGACCTACGGAACTCCGGTACATGTCAACTCGCTTGAACAGAGAAGAGGTTTTTCCCGCGTTCATTCGCTGCGTTGCGTTTCAAAGCGGAAGCTACTCATACCACTGTTTACCATGCGGGAAGTCGATTTACCGCACAGAGACAACAAACGAATGGGGGGGACAAAGCACGCGAAGTTGACAAGATGGCTCCAGAACACACCGTGCTGTTCAGCTTTTTTCAATACACGCCACTAGTGCAAAGCGAGCAATATCTCACTAGTGGTCTGTACAGCAAGACGTCTTACCTTTAGTTTAGGCATTTAAATATTTAGAAAGCAGCACCTCGGGGAAGATGTTAACAAAAACTTGGTGCGACTCGTTTCAATCGCTTCGTCGCTTCATAGGACTTCATTCGTAGAAGACTCGTCAGCAGAGGCGTGCATATAGTGTCTGTTCTTACCCCTTCATATTAAGTTAGGATAGCGCCTAGGTTACCTATTACTGTGGATAGTGTTCAGACTCATTTGCGGCGCGAGGACTCCACCCGCATTAATGTAACAAGCGATCAATTTCACAGCTTTCTCTCTTTTCTCCGTTTCTTGCGTCGCTCTCGCCCATCCCCGCCCACGTCACTCGCCGTCGCCCCGTTCGCCAGCTCCATTCGCCTGTCGTCACTTGCGTACTCGCTAATTTCCCGCCCCACCCTACTCTATGCCCACTCAGCGCCACACTCTCTCAACTCTGCGCGGCTTCACTCAACCCCATCTTCACCCTTACTCCCCTTCATGCTTGCGCAATTCTCCCCCCCTTCGTCACCCCAGCCCTCCCCCTCCGCGTGCTCCCCCCGCCATGGGGAACTGCTTCTCCAGGCCGCCGCCGTCGCCCAGAAAGCCCCCGCAGCAGCAACCGCAGCCGCGCCCCCCGCCTCCGCCGGCCGCGCGGCCAATCCCCAATGGTCACCCGCCTCCCGCGCCGCCGCACGCTCCGGCGCCAGCGCCGGCGCCACAGCCGGTGTCGCCGAGGCAACCAGGTGCGGCTGCCCCGCGCTCTCTTTTCTGCTCGTCGAACCCTCCTCGCTCGCGTCATTCGGTCCCACTCCATCCACCCTTCCCACTTCCCTGCAACCCCCTCCCCTCCCCAACCCCTCCTTCGATCTCGTTGCAACTTCCATTCCACCTGACCTCGTACGCGCGACCCCTCTGTCCCCGTTCTTGCACGCTCCTCGCCTCCCGTACCCCCTGTCCCCTACCGCCTCCCGCGTTCCCTCCTCCCTGCCCTGTCCCCCAGCAGCGCCCCCGCCTCCCCCAGCCGCAGCGGGCGGGTACCCTCTGCGCAAGTCCCTGGCACCGGGCGTGGCATCGCAGTACAACTACCAGGAGGTGCAGGCCGCCACGCACCCCTTCTCCACTCACTCGCAACACCTCTCACGCGCCTCAAAACTCTCTCCTCTCTCTCCTTCCCCTCTGCTTCCCTCCCCTTTCCCCACTCCCCATCCCCCCTCCCGCGTTTTCCATGGCCCTCCTCTCAGCAGCGCCCCCGCCCATCCCTGCCGCAACAGGCGGGTACCCTCTCCGCAAGCCCCTGGCGCCGGGAGTGGTGTCGCAGTATTACTACCAGGAGGTGCAGGCCGCCACGCACTCCTTCTCATTCTCCCCTAACCCCCCTCCCGCCTCCCCTCTCAGCAGCGCCCTCGCCCCCCCCAGCAGCAGGCGGGTACCCGTTGCGCAAGTCTCTTGCCCCAGGAGTGGTGTCGCAGTACAACTACCAGGAGGTGCAGGCCGCCACTCAGTCCTTCTCCACAGAGATCGGCCGCGGGGGCTTCGGCGTGGTGTTCCATGGGCGGCTGGCGGACCCCCAGGGCGGCCCGGCACACGAGGTGGCGGTGAAGCTGATGGCGGAGGACCACATCACCAACGGCATCGACAGCTTCATTGTGCGTGCCGTGCACGGGGTCTTGTGCGCATGCACATGCACATGCATGCACGCTCGCATGCACCCACTCACACAAGGAGGGTGGGATGTGAAGTTGAGAGTATGGCGCTTTTCACTGCTCTCCGTTATCCCTACCAGCTGCCTCCCTGCAGCCTGCAGTAACTGCCACCACCCTCATTCTCCCCACGCGCATCGTTCCCCTCGCGCTCCTCTTCCCTTGCTTGCACAGACGGAGGTGGGGGTGATGGCGCGGGTGCACCACCCCAACATACTGCGCCTGGAGGGGTACGTGGTGGGCGCCACGCCCATCCTCATCTATGACTACGTCTCCATGGGGGACGCCTCCACCTACCTCGCTAAAGGTGCGCCTGTGCCTCACCTCCTCGTCTTCCTAAAGGTGCGCCTGTGCCTCACCTCCTCGTCTTCCTAAAGGTGCGCGTGTGCCTCACCTCCTCGTCTTCCTAAAGGTGCGCCTGTGCCTCACCTCCTCGTCTTCCTAAAGGTGCGCCTGTGCCTCACCTCCTCGTCTTCTCCTCCCTACCTCTCCTCCTCTGCTTCTTCCTCCCCTCCTTTTACTCACGTATTCTCTGCCTTGTCTTTTCATTTCCTGCCCCCGTCCTGTCCCCGTCCTGCCGCCCCGGTGCCATGAACCCTCCCCTCTCCTCCCTCCTCTCCTCCCCCCACTTCACCTCCCCTCTATTCCCCTCCCCTCCGATCCCCTCCCCATCCCTCCGCTTCCCTCCCCTTCTTATCCATCCTCTCCTCCCCTCCATTCCCTTCCCTTCCCTCCCCTCCCCCTTCCCTTCTCCCTCCCTCCCTCCCCTCCCCCATCAGCGGCGCGGGGCGAGGTGGCGTTCACGTGGAAGCAGCGGGTGGTGGTGGCGCTGGGGTGTGCGGAGGCGCTGACGACCATCCATGCCAACAACTTCGTGCACCACGACTTCAAGACCACCAACGTGCTGCTCCGCCAGGTGGGGAATACCACCATGCTGCATCGCTCTGAACCGCTCTGGGTTGGATAGAAAGGGGCAGTTGGAGCGGTGACGAGCATCCCCGACAACAAATTGGTGCACCGCGACTGCACGGCCACCCACGTGCTGCTCCGCCAGGTGCGCGGCAGGGGGAGAGGCAGGGGGAGAGGCAGGGGGAGAGGCAGGGGGAGAGGCAGGGGGAGAGGCACGGGGAGAGGCAGGGGAAGAGGCAGGGGAAGAGGCAGGGGGAGAGGCAGGGGGAGAGGCAGGGGAAGAGGCAGGGGGAGAGGCAGGGGGAGAGGCAGGGGAAGTGGCAGGGGGAGAGGCAGGGGGAGAGGCAGGGGGAGAGGCAGGGGAAGAGGCAGGGGGAGAGGCAGGGGGAGGGGCAGGGGGAGAGGCAGGGGAAGAGGCATGGGGAGAGGCAGGGGGAGAGGCAGGGGGAGAGGCAGGGGGAGAGGCAGGGGGAGAGGCAAGGGAAGAGGCAGGGGGAGAGGCAAGGGAAGAGGCAGGGGTAGAGGCAGGGGGAGAGGCAGGGGGAGAGGCAGGGGAAGAGGAAGGGGGAGAGGCAGGGGGAGAGGCAGGGGGAGAGGCAGGGGGAGAGGCAGGGGGAGAGGCAGGGGGAGAGGCAGGGGGAGAGGCGGGGGAAGAGGAAGGGGGAGAAGCAGGGGGAGAGGCAGGGGGAGAGGCAGGGGGAGAGGCAGGGGGAGAGGCAGGGGGAGAGGCAGGGGAAGAGGCAGGGGAAGAGGCAGGGGGAGAGGCAGGGGGAGAGGCAGGGGGAGAGGCAGGGGGAGAGGCAGGGGGAGAGGCAGGGGGAGAGGCAGGGGAAGAAGCAGGGGGAGAGGCAGGGGGAGGGGCAGGGGGAGAGGCAGGGGAAGAGGCATGGGAAGAGGCATGGGGAGAGGCAGGGGGAGAGGCAGGGGGAGAGGCAGGGGGAGAGGCAGAGGGAGAGGCAGGGGAAGAGGCAGGGGGAGAGGCAAGGGAAGAGGCAGGGGGAGAGGCAGGGGGAGAGGCAGGGGGAGAGGCAGGGGAAGAGGAAGGGGGAGAGGCAGGGGGAGAGGCAGGGGGAGAGGCAGGGGGAGAGGCAGGGGGAGAGGCAGGGGGAGAGGCAGGGGGAGAGGCGGGGGAAGAGGAAGGGGGAGAAGCAGGGGGAGAGGCAGGGGGAGAGGCAGGGGGAGAGGCAGGGGAAGAGGCACGGGGAGAGGCAGGGGGAGAGGTAGGGGAAGAGGCAGGGGGAGAGGCAGGGGGAGAGGCAGGGGGAGAGGCAGGGGAAGTGGCAGGGGAAGAGGCAGGGGAAGAGGCAGGGGAAGAGGCAGGGGAAGAGGCAAGGGAAGAGGCAGGGGAAGAGGCAGGGGGAGAGGCAGGGGGAGAGGCAGGGGGAGAGGCAGGGGGAGAGGCAGGGGGAGAGGCAGGTGAAGAGGCAGGGGGAGAGGCAGGGGAAGGGGCAGGGGAAGAGGCAGGAGGAGAGGCAAGGGAAGAGGCAGGGGAAGAGTCAGGGGGAGAGGCGGGGGGAGAGGCAGGGGGAGCGAGGCCACCAACGTGCTGCTGCGCCAGGTGCGCGGGGGGGAGAGATGTGTGCACGGTGCAACGAGGTGAGGGGTGGGTGGAAGGTGGGGGGTGGGAGGGAGGTGTAAGGGAGGAGAGATGGAGGGGGGGAGGGTGGTGTGAGGGGGAGCAGAGCCAGGTGGATGGACCTGGCCTCCTCCCTCCCTCCCCACTCCTCCCTCCCCACTCCTCCCTCACCCCTCCTCCCTCCCCACTCCGTCCCCACTCCTCCCTCCCCACATCACAGTGATGCCTCCTCACTGTGCTGTGCGCACCTCCCTCCGCACTCCGTCATCGCCACCCCTCTGGTCCATCCACGTCAGCATGTCTCCGCGGTGCAGGCAGAGAGCTCACGTCACGCCACTCGTCCCTCCCCCCCCAATTCCCCTGCTCCCCTCCTCCCGCCCCCCTCGCCCCACACAGGACCTCACCCCGGTGGTGGCGGACTTTGGGTTGGCGAATTGGAAGACGCACGTGCAGACGAGGGTGATGGGGTCCATGGGCTACATCGACCCCATGTACTTGGACTCCGGTCAGTGCTGTGCTACACTCCCAAGGAGAAAGGGGGGCTCGGGGGGTGTCTGTCTGGGGCATGGGATGGGCGTCCTGTGATGAGCGCCGGGGGCTCTCCTTCCTCCGGCGCTATACTGGCATCCTCAGGCAATGGCTTCACTAAGGCGAGGGTGCTTGCTGGGATGGGAGGTATGGGGTACAGCAACCCCATCTACTTAGAGTCCCTCCAGTGGGGCCCCATGCACGCTGTCATGCACCCTCCTGCGCACTTCATTCTACATTTCGTGCATCACATTTTCCCGGGCATTGGTTGACTGCAAGGCAAGGGTGGTGCGGTGTATCGGCCCCATCTATTTTGGTTCCAGCCAGTAATCATGTGATCCCCTACTCCGCCCTAGCTTCACACGCTACATGTCTCGGGCAATGGGTTGATCAAAGGGCGACGGCCATGGGGTCGGTGGGTTACCTCAACCCCATTCACTTTATCGCTGGCCACTGCCCTCTCGCTCACTGCATTTGTTGTTCTGTTCTCTCATTCTTGTTTGAGTCACTCGAAGTCCTACTCAAGGGCCGTGCGAGGGGTTGAGGACCACCACAGTCCATCTACTTCCACTCTCGTCACTCACACCCTTTGCCTTGCCCTAAGCTCAAGCACCCTTCCATTCCCACTGGACCCACCCACATGCCATGTCCCACCCACATACCATGTCCCACCCGCATGCCATATCCCACCCAAATGCCATACCATGCTGTTTAGTAAACTCCAAATTCACCTCAACATCATGCTCCCCATCCAATTCCTCTCCACACCTGCCTCCCCCTCCGCCCCTCTCCCCCCCTCCAGGCATGTTGAGTAGTAACTCAGACACGTACGCGCTTGGCATCTTGCTTCTGCTCACCTGCTGTCCCCTCTCCCCCCCCTCCATGCATGTTGAGTCGCAAGTCAGACACGTACGCGCTTGGTATCCTGCTTCTGCTCACCTGCTGTCCCCTCTCCCCCCCCTCCAGGCTAGTTGAGTCGCAAGTCAGACACGTACGCGCTTGGCATCCTGCTTCTGCTCACCTACTGTCTCCTCTCCCCCCCCTCCAGGCATGTTGAGTCGCAAGTCAGACACGTACGTGCTTGGCATCCTGCTTCCGCTTGTTGGAATGAACGAACAAGTAAAAGTGATTGAACTAACACTGAAATCAGTACAAGTGCCTAACCCTAGAATTGTGTACCCCCTATAGGCTAAACCATTGTAGCCTAAACTAACACAATAGATATAATGTTTGACACACCTACATAGGCAAAGTGGAGGAGAACTAGGGGTTATAAGACCAGTTAAGGCAAAACAAGACAGAAGAAACTCAAGGAGGATCTCAAGGATACCACACAAATTCCGAGTACAAGCAAGTGGTCACAAAACCAGTTCACATGCAGATTTATAATAAAACAAAAAGTACAATGATCACAACTTAGTAAAAGTAAACATGCAGGTATATATATAGAGAGATCACAGTACAAACAGACTAAAGAAGTAATCAAGTGAGATCAAGTAGGCACAAGGCTTAGAAGAGTGTAAAAACGTTGATGGTAACAAGACTGCAGCGCCTTGGTGAACACATCAGCAGTGTTGGCTTCAGAGGCCACATAACGCAGACAAAGCTGACCACGCTACTACAGCTCTCGAGCAAAGAAGTAGCGGAGAACAATATGTTTCGTTCTGAGCTCCTGACACAAATCAATGGTTGCCTGGTTGTCGACGTATGACACTGGAGGAGAACGAGTCGCTCTCCAAGGTCGGTCAGCAAGTTGGTGAGCCAGCATAGCTCCTTGGCTGCCATGGCTGTCGCGTAGATCTCAGCCTCACAACTGGAGCTGAGAACAGAAGAAAACCGACCAGAACACCAAGAAACTGAACCAGAGCCATGACTAAAAGTGTAACCTTGAGACGACCGCTGAGTAGCTTTGTCTGCCCAAGAAGCGTCTGGGTGCCCAGTGAGAACAACTAGGTCGCGCCCTGCAAACACTAGCCCCATGCCCGACGTACTGCACAAGTAGCGCAATACCCTCTTAGCTGCATCCATGTGTTCTTTCCGGTGACGTCGGGGAGCGACGTAGCGTGCAAAAATGCTGAGAGAGTATGCAAGGTCAGGTCGTGTGCAGGTCATCAGGTACATGAGGCAAACCACAAGCTCTAGATACGGACCACTCAACTCTACGGACTCATCAGAAGGCAGAGTTGAGAGCGAGTGACTGGTAGGCAGAGGAGTGGGCTCCGGCGAGGAGTACGTGAAGCGGAATCGCTGAAGGACCTGCTGCACCATGTGTGACTGAGTCAAGGTGATGGTGCGACGTGCTTTGTCCCGGGTGATCCACAAGCCAAAATAGCTTGTCAGTACACCCAGGTCTGTGCACGTGCGTCTTTCCTGCAGTTCCGACTTCACGTAGGCAAGTGCCGAAGTGGCAAAGACCAAATCATCGATGCACACGAGAATGTAGAACGGCGGCAGTGAGGTGTTAATGCGTAGAAACAGCGATGGTTTAGCAATAGAAGGCGCGAACCCAAGAGCCGCAAGTGTAGTCCTCAGTGTGTCGTGCCACTCACGTGGCGCCTGGCGGAGACCGTAGACTGGTCGTCAGAGGCTCCATTGGGTACCAGGAAGGAACGACTCAGTGAAGCCACGAGGGGGGCGCAACCAGATCTCCTCGTGCAGGCTGCCCTGTAGAAAAGCAGAGCTGAAGTCAAGCGTGTGGAGCTCGTAGTCACGCTGAGCGGCGACGTGCAGGAGAACCCGAAGAGTGGTTCATGACTAAAGCCTCGTGCAACGAAACGCGCCTGGAAGACAGGCAGAGAGCTCGGCGGCTGTTTCACCCTGAAAATCCACATGTCACTAACGATGTTCGCCCCAGGCGGGGGAACCTCGTCGACGTAGGTGCTTGCAGAATTCCAGGAAGCCATCTCTGTGTCCATGGTTGACTGCCACTGAGTGGAGTAGGGACCGGTTATCGCTTCTGCGTAAGAGCGTGGGGTCGGGATGTCTGGTGCATCCGGGTCTCCCTCAGGTGCAACTAGCATGGACACGAGATGGGGCAAAACGGCAGCAAAGCATTCAAACTCCTCCTGTCTGTCCTCAAGAACGTCAGTGCCAAGAGCACACTCACCCCCGACGGACGGAGGATAGACAGACTCAGACTCAGCAACTAGGCTAGCGGTGTAGTCTAGACGGCAGGTGGCAGCAAAGTCGACAAGCTCAGCAACTAAGGCAGACACAGCAACGGACTTAAAAGAAGGGTCAGTGTCAACAGTAGCCAGAAGACGCGTGACAATAGGACTGGCACCACGAAAGTTGTTTGACCCCGGGTCAGCAAAAGCAGGAATAGAGAACGCAGGAGAGACGACAGCGGGAGCACTGTGCAGCAGTGGAGGGACGAAGCGCCATCCGGTGAGTGCCTGGGACAGCAGGCAGACGCTGACGTGGGACACGACTACCAGTGAGAGCAGCACAGACAGGCGACGCACGACGAAACTCAGGCGACGCAGGACGAGACTCAGGCGACGCAGGACGAGACCGGTTCACGACGCTCAGCAAGACCTCCAGTCAGACCAGTGTAAGGAGCAGGATAAGGGAGAGAGAAAGCTGACGGTAGCTGTAACTGCAGCTGGACAGACGGAGGGCACCCTAAGGACAGAGGAGGACAAGGAGGAGGGAGCTGACCGCTGAAAGAGCGGAACGAAGTACTGTTGCGGCCGTACAGCAACTCTAGAGCCAGCAGGGATACGAGCGCTAGGGTCCTCAGCACCAGCAGCAGTACCAGCGTCCGGGTCCTCAACACCAGCGACAGCTCCAACGCCCGGATCCGCAGCACCAACAAGAGCTCCAACGTCTGGGTCAACAGCACCAGCAGCAGCACCAGCGCCCGGGTCCTCAGCACCAGCCGCAGCTCCAACGCCCGGGTCCGCAGCACTAGAAGGACCAGCACAGTCTCCAGCACCAGCAGCACCACGAGCAGCAGTGGGGTCCGCCATACCAGGCGCGCCACTCCGAAGAGTGCAGCGCCACTCGTACCACTCACGGATCCGGTCACGGGAAGGGAAGCTCCCGACTAGGAGGAGAGGCACTAGCACCAGTCCCAGCAGCACGCCTGGCTCTAGGGGTACCTCTCCTGAGGCTGCAGTACTGTAAGTACCACTCACGCAGCAGCTTCATGCAGAGGGCTCCTCCAGGTGTAGCACTCCCAGAACCAGCTCCTCCTATCTCAGAACCCCCAGACTCCGGACTCTGCGGCTCAGCACCCCTAGGCTCAGCACCTCCAGGCTCCGCACCCCCAAGCTCAGCACTCCCAGGCTCCGCACCCGCACCAGGACGAGAGTCGACAGGTACCTCAACAGGCCCAACCGGGTCTACCTTAGACACACTTGAGGGAGCGGCACCCTGAGGGGGGAGGGGGTCTACCACAGCAGCACCTGGCGCGAGGAAGAGAGGCGGTGGGGGGGAGCGGGGCAGTGCGGTAGGGGAAGTATCGGTAGTAGGGGACAGACTCGTCAAAAATGACGTCCTGAGAGGGAAAGACTCGACGCGAGGTGGCGTGGTAAAACTGCCAACCAGGCGCGTCCGGGACAAAACCGAGGAAGACGCAGGGAACAGCACAAGAGGACAGCTTATCCGCAGACGTATCGCGGACAAAAACTCGAAATCCCCAGACCCGGAAATGTAACGCAATGCCAACCTCCCCCGTCCACACCAGTGTGGGCGAGGTCTCCGGCAAGGAGACACGGGGCTAGAGGTTGAGCTGATGCGCAGCGTACCGGACTGCAAACGGCCACAGAAAGTGGGGGGCAGCCGCATGGATCAAGGAGGTACGGACGACCTCCATGACCAGGCCAATGCGGCGCTCCGCAACCCCATTCTGCTGTGGAGAGGCCGGAAGCGTGAACGACTGCTCAATGCCGTGCTCAGCACAGTAGACTGCGAAGAGGTCGGAGAAGAACTCACCATCTCTGTCAGAGTAGAAGCATAGGAGAGGAAAGTCCGAGTGAAGGCGCTCGTTGAGCTGGAGACGGGCTCTGCGAATCCAAGGGATCAAGACATCAGGGACTTCACCCTTGGTGCGCAAGAAGAATACCGTGGTGTAGCGCGAGTAGTCGTCAACAACTATCAGGAAGTACCTCTCCTCACCCTGACCACGGACGTGGGCTGGGCCCCACACGTCCATGTGGAGCATCTGCAAGGGAGCAGCCGTCGGGGAAAACGAGGAGTGAGGAGCGGTGCGCTGTCGCCCCTCGACACAGAGAAGACAGGGAAGAGGAGGTGAGGGAGGGAGGGGAAGAAGGACCCTGGGAAGGCCAGAGACAAGATACCGGGAGTGCATGGCACGAAAGCGTTGCACGGACGGGTGACCAAGGCGGTGGTGCCAGAGGACAGTCTCGTATGCCGGAGAGCGACACGAGCAGGGGGCCGACAGCTGACCTGACGCGGACGCAGACGCAAATGCAGCAACCTGAGGAGACTCAGTGGTCAGTGTGTACAGGTCCGACCCCGGCTGCCGAGTGAAGGTAGCCAAGTGACGGCCCGTACGAGCACACGTGTAGTGTGTCACGCGCTCGTAGGCAGGGGTGAACTGGTGAACACCCCCGTCCTGGAGCGGACATCCTACCACTAGGTTTGGAGAGAACGAGGGGAGGTGGAGATCGGACAGTATGCCCGATGGGACCGCAGGATAGGGAAGGACAGTGGAGGTCGCAATGACCGGACCCCAGAGGGGTCAGCAAGGGAGACAGCTTCTGGCCGAGCAAGCGGCTCAAGGGCAGTGCGGTCACGAAAGAAGCAGCGAGAAGCACTTGAGTCCAATGTGAAGGTGTGGAGTGCTGCAGTAGACTCAGTACCAGGGGGGTTCCAGACGCACAAGCACCTAGAACAGCTGCCTCACCAGCACCTGGGTAGCAGACACGCGAGTTCCTGGAGCGGCAGACGCACTAGTCCTAATGCTCGGGTCGGGCGGCACACACAGGTACTCAGCACCCTCTCCACTACTAGACATCACATACATAGCAGTGAGAATAACATCAAAGTCTAGAGCATAGATATCAATCCCCTTCTTTAGGAGATCAATCCAGCGGGGTAGCTCAGTGGCCTAAGGGAACTGAACACGCCAAGCATCGTTGAGACGAGCGAAGCAGCGCTGTGTGGCGTGCGGTCCCCCACATTGGTGACCATTGCGGTCACCAGTGCGAATGACGTACGTGCAGCTAGAGCCACCCCCCCTCCCGTACAGAAAATACCACTCACGGACCTCCTGGGGCGATGGAGTGTGCCGCTGACCCTGACCACCGCCAGCGCCCCCACGACTGCCACCGCTGCTGCCACCTCCTCGACCACCCCAACCCTTGCCGCCGCCGCGTCCACCGCCACCCCCACCACCGCCTCCGCCCCCGCCACCTCCCCCGCCGCTACGGCCACCACCCCCACCGCCGCCACTAGTCCCTCCATTCGCGCCACCACCCCCACCGCTGCCACCACCCCCACCACCGCCTCCCCCGCCGTCACCGCCACCGCCCTTGCCCCCTTTGCCCTTGCCGCTGCGGCGCCCACTCGAAGCAGACGCAGTACCGACCTTCTCAGCACCAAGGAGGTCGACAACAGCAGTAGAGGCGACAGAGGGAAGAAGGGGGGAAGGAGAACACCCCTCAAAGAACGGGGTACGGGGGTCGCCGCGAGAGGCTCCTACAGCGAGTATAATAGATAGCTGCAAGCAGTTCCTTCTCGAGGAGGGCAATGGTGAACTCAATGGGGCACCGAGTTAGCAAGTGGTCTCTGACTGCACGCAGAGAATCAGGGAGGCGGGTGACTAAGTGGTAGAGAGTGAGTCAGAGCGGAGGGGGGGTCGTGGCTAGAAACTCATCAGACATGGCAGCACGGAAGCGGGCCTCACTAGTACGGAGGTGCGTGATGAGGTCAGCGACTGTGTGGAAGGAGGCGAGGTCGGGGAACAGGTAGGGGAGTGAGAGATGGCCTAGTGCAGCAGAGGCAAGGGAGGAGTAGCAGGCAACGACAGCAGTGTACAGTGCCTGGGCAGTCTTGTGCTGGCCGAAGTGCTCACGCTCATCTAAGGGCAGGGAGTTGCGAATAGCAAAGCGAGCGTGGGCGTCAAGAATCTGCCATTGTGAGCGGGCAGTGCTGTCAGCAGTAGTAGCAGAGGCAGGCGTATGGTTTAGGGCGTGATCGTACAGTGAGATGTCGTCCTTGGCAGTGAGCTGTAGGAAGAGGTGCAGGTCATCTAGCCAGGTGTCGAACTTCACTGGGTGGCCCTCAGCATCGAAAACTGGCACCCGAGGACTAGCCACAAGAGCAGAAGTAGGAGTAGGCAGACAGGTAGGACGGTCGGTTTGGTTCAACCGAGACACGATGTTATAGCCCTTACATGATGGTCCAGCCGACACACGATGTTACAGTCCAGACACGATGGTACAACCGAGACACGATGTTACAGCCCAAACACGATGTTTTAACTCTTTACGATGGTAGAGCCCAGACACGATGTTTGAGCCCTTAATGATGGTACAGCTCAAACACGATGTTTGAAGCCTTAACGATGGTACAGGCCCGACACGATGTTTGAGCCCTTAACGATGGTACAGCCCAGACACGGTGTTTGAGCCCTTAACGATGGTACAACCCCAACACGATGTTTGAGCCCATAACGATGGTACAGCCCTGACACGATGTTTGAGCATTTAACGATAGTACAGCCCAGACACGATGGTAAGCCCAAATACTGGTACTCGCCGTGAAGGGCGAGCGTGGGGCTGTAAGGGGCCGTGAAGGGCAAGCGCGGGGCGGTAAGGGGCTGTTAGGGGCGAGCGCGGGGCCGTAAGGGGATGTGAAGGGCAAGTGCGAGGTCGTTCGAGGTTCTTAGGGGCGAGCGCGGATCCGATCGGGGCCGTTAAGGGTCAGCAAGTAGGTGAGCCAGGGCAGCTCCTGGGCTGCCATGGCTGTGGCGTAGATCTCAGCCTCACAACTGGAGCTGAGAATAGAAGAACAGCAAGTAGAACGTCAAGAAACTGAACCAGAGCCAAGACGGAATGTGTAACCCTAAGACGACCGCTGAGTAGCCTGGTCGTCTGCCCAAGAAGCATCTGAGTGCCCAGTGAGAACATCTGGGTCTCGCCCTCCGAGCACTAGCCCCATGCCCGACGTACTGCACAAGTAGCGCAATACCCTCTTTTGCATCCAAGTGTTCCTTCCGGTGACGGGCGAGAGCGACCTAGCATTCAAGAATGTTGAGAGGGTATGCAAGGTTAGATCGAGTGCAGGTCATCAGGTACATGAGGCAAACCACAAGCTCTGGATACGGGCCATTCGGCTCTACGGACTCATCCGAAGGCACGGCTGAGAACGAGTGACTGGTAGACAAAGGAGTGAGCTGAGGCGAGGAGTACGTGAAGCCGAAGCGCTGAAGGACTTGCTGCACCATATGTGACTGAGTCAAGGTGATGGTACGGCGTGCTCTGTCCCGGATGATCCGCAAGCCAAAATAGCTTGTCAATTCACCCAGGTCTGTGCACGTGTGTCTCTTCTGCAGTTTCGACTTCACGTGGGCAAGTGCCGCAGTGTCAGAAATGGCAAAGACCAAATCGTCGACGTACACGATGATGTAGAACTGCGGTAGTGAGGTGTCAGTGCATAGAAACAGCGACGGGTCAACAGTAGAAGGCGCGAACCCAAGAGCCACAACTGTAGTCCTCAGTGTGTCGTGCTACTCACGTGGTGCCTGGCGAAGACCGTAGACTGGCCGTCGGAGGCTCCACTGGGTACCAGGAGGGAACGATCCACTGAAGCCAGGCGGGCGGCGCAACCTGGCTTGGGGCCGGTGGGGGCCGTTAAGGGCGAGTGCGAGGCCTTTCGGGGCCTCTAAGGGCAAGCACGGGGCCGTAGAGGGCCTTTAGGGAGGCAAGCGCGGGGCCGACGCGGCCTCTAGGGGCGAGGTCTGGGCCGCAAGGGGCCGTTAGGGAGGTAAGCGCGGGGCCGACGGGGCCTCTAGGGGTGATCGCGGGGCCGTAAAGAGGGCCTCTAGGGAAGCAGGTGCGGGGCCGACGGGGCCTCTAGGGGCGATCGCGGGGTCGTACAGGGCCTCTAGGGAGGTAAGCGTGGGGCCGACGAGGCCTCTAGGGGCGATCGCGGGGCCGTACAAGGCCTCTAGGGAGGTAAGCGTGGGGCCAACGGGGCCTCTAAAGGCGATCGCGGGGCCGTAAGGAGGGCCTCTAGGGGCGGCTAGCACGGGGCCAACAGGGCCGTTAAAAACTGAGGCGCGCTAGAGCGTAGGTAGGTAGGTAGGTAGTGGTGGGCCCTTTCAAAAAAAAAAACGGTCCTAGAAAAGACATGCTCTATACCATGTTGGAATGAAAGAACAAGAAAAAGTGATTGAACTAGCAGTAAAATCAGTACAAGTAACTAACCCTAGAATTGTGTACTCGTTATAGGCTAACCCATTGTAGCCTAAACAAGCACAACATATATAATGTTTGACAGTGCTCACCTGCTGTCCCCTCTCCCCCCCCTTCAGGCATGTTGAGTCGCAAGTCAGACACGTACGCTTGGCATCCTGCTTCTGCTCACCTGCTGTCCCCTCTCCCCCCCCTCCAGGCATGTTGAGTCGCAAGTCAGACACGTACGCGTTCGGCATCATCCTGCTGGAGTTGGTGTCGGGTTGCTCGGCCCTGGACGCGCGGTTCAAGCACCTGCGCAAGCTGGTGACGGCCAAGGACTTTCCCGACCCCACTCTCGTGGTGGACCCGCAGCTGCAAGGCCAGTGGCAGCTCAAGCAGGTGCTCGTGGCGTTCACAGTCATCAAGTTCGCCATCTTGTATGACTGGGAGCACCGGCCCGGCATGGATGTGCTCTGTGAAAAGCTAAAGAACCTCATTAATGACATGTGAGGGGGAGGGAGCGGGGTTGAGGGGCTAGGAGTGTTGTATTGGTGAATGTGGGGGTGCTGGTAGGCTAGAACGGGTGCATGTTGTTAGAAAGTCAACATAGTAATTATGTATGCTCATGTACAGGAATTGTGTTGCTCATGATTAGTGTTAACGCTGAGTTTGTACATGTATAATATTATAAAATTGTCCGCATGCACGGCAAATTGTGCTCGAAGTTGGTGGGGCTGAGAGAGCACGCACTGAGAGGCTGGGTGGTGCCGGGACCAAGGGGTTGCGGAGATGCAGTACGAGGGGGTAGAGATGCAGTACGAGGGGGTAGAGATGCAGTCCGAGGGGGTAGAGATGCAGTGAGCGGGAGGAGAAACAGAATGCAGGATAGAGAGGGGGGGAAGCGGGGGGGTGTGAAGATGCAGTGATGGGGGGAAGATGCAATGAGGGGGGAGGGAGAGGGAGGAGATACAGAGAGCAATAAAGTCAGGGTAGAGAGTGGGGGAGAGTGCATGGGCTTGAGAGGAGAGCATGGTGCGAGGAAGGGGAGAGGAGAGCAACGATTTGCGAGTGATCTCTGAGACGAGGGTATAGGAATGACAGCGAGTCAAGGCCAAAGAAGTACCGACTTAACAATCTTCTCAACCTGCTCCTCACTCACCCCCCCCCCCCCCCCCCCCGCCTCTCTCCCACTCACCCCCCGCCCCTCTCCCACTCACGCCCCGCCTCTCTCCCACTCACGCCCTACCACTCCCCCACTCACGCCCTGCCACACCTTAGCGCCATGGCCAGTGCTCATCCCTGGATGCAACAGTCCTGCACACGCCCTTCAACAGTCCAGCACACGCCCTTCAACAGTCCAGCACACGCCCTTCAACAGTCCAGCACACGCCCTTCAACAGTCCAGCACACGCCCTTCAACAGTCCAGCACAGGCCCTTCACCTCCCTTCGCTCCTAGCGCCCTGCCTGCCACGTGCCTCCTCCCGATCCTCCCGCACCCCTCTTCACCGCTTACCCTGCCAGGCTCCCGCCCTCATACCTGCCTGAGCGGCCCTGCCCCCCTCGTCATCACCTCCTCATGCCCTCGCCACCCCAACGCCTCTCCTCGCCACCTCTCGTCATTTCCGTGCCTCGCGTCCATCTGATGCCTCGCGTCCATCTGATGCCTCGCGTCCATCTGATGCCTCGCGTCCATCTGATGCCTCGCGTCCATCTGATGCCTCGCGTCCATCTGATGCCTCGCGTCCATCTGATGCCTCGCGTCCATCTGATGCCTCGCGTCCATCTGATGCCTCGCGTCCATCTGATGCCTCGCGTCCATCTGATGCCTCGCGTCCATCTGATGCATGGCGTCCATCTGATGCCTCGCGTCCATCTGATGCCTCGCGTCCATCTGATGCCTCTCGTCCATCTGATGCATCGCGTCCATCTGATGCCTCGCGTCCATCTGATGCATCGCGTCCATCTGATGCCTCGCGTCCATCTGATGCCTCGCGTTCATCTGATGCCTCGCGTCCATCTGATGCATCGCGTCCATCTGATGCCTCGCGTCCATCTGATGCATCGCGTCCATCTGATGCCTCGCGTCCATCTGATGCCCACCGAGATGCCACCCCCTCGCTCACCCCCTCGCCGCGCTCGTTAATAGAGAATCCCCTTCCACCTATCCCCCTCCCCATTCCCCCACCGTTTCCTCCTTCCCCCCCCCCCGTGTTTTGGCATGAGTGTACGCGTCTCACTGAACCGTTCGCCATCCACGTGGCTGGCATGCTGTCACTCTGCACGTCCACCTCCCACCATTGCTGCATGCATCCAACATGCGCTGTTCCAACGTCTAGTAGCCTCCTCCCCTCCTACCCTCCTCCCCTCCTTCCCTCCTCCCCTCCTACCCTCCTCCCCTCCTTCCCTCCTCCCCTCCTCCACTCCTCGCCTCCCCTCCTTCCCTCCTCCACTCCTCGCCTCCCCTCCTTCCCTCCTCCACTCCTCCCCTCCTTCCCTCCTCCCCTCCTCCCCTCCTCGCCCCCCCTCTCACCCGTCCAAGCACCCCCTTTTCCGCCTGCCTCTGCGCCCACCAACCCTTGGTGCGCCCCTCGTGCTCCCCATCTCCCACCCGCACGTCTCCCCCGCGTCCTAGCCTCATCAGCCCCACGCGTGTCTCGAATACCGCCATGCCGCCACGCACGCCTCATACTCCCAACCACTGCTCTCCCCCTCACCTCTTTCTTCCCACCCCCACTCCCCTTCCACCTCTCACCTTCCACCTCTCCCCTTCCACCTCTCTCCTTCCACCTCACCCCCGCGACCTTCTCTCGTCTCATGTGTCCGCCCACCCTCACCTCGCGCCACACGGATGGATGCCGCCCATCCATTCATCCACGTCATCGCCTACGGCTCTCCACGCCACGTGGATGCTTTGCTCCAAGGCGCCCCGTAGACGCGCGTCGGTTGGCGTTTACCTTCCCCCCATCCCCCTCCGCCATCCTCCCACAAATTCCCCCACGCCATTCTTGAAAACACCGCTAAAAGACAAGTGGATGCCGACCAGAATCAGGTTGCAGACAACGCATGCTGCCCCCACGTTGACGAGCGGGAGCGTGGTAGGGTGCATACGCGGCGCACCGAGGATGGCGGCGAAAAGCGACCCGCGGGAGGCGGGCTTGCGCCCATGCGCGGAGATGTGCGCGGCCGCGGATGAGGGCGCTGGTTGCAGCGACGCGGAGGGGGACTGGTGTTGGCGCGGCCGACGCTTTGCGGTGCTGATGGGTGCGGCGCGGTGCACGCGGATGTGAAGCGGTGAGGATGACATGGCGGCGGGGACGGAGTCTAGTGTGCTCGGCAACGGGAAACCTGCGAGCTGGCCGCGTGGAACCCGTCCACGTGGAACCCGTCTAGGCACCCGCTGCAGTGCGCGGCTCGCTTGAGACGAGCGAGGAGTCGAGCGATGCGAGGAAACGACGAGCGAGGCGCGCACTTCATGGGGAGTCGACACCGCGGCTTGTGAGTGAGCGATACAAGTCAAGCAAAAGCGGAATGAATGAAAGAGTGGATGCGACAAGTCGCATCGGGTACAAGGAGTATGTAAGCCAAAACGCGGCGAGCGTGGAGTTGACTCGACCGTCACCTCGTGAAGCCCGGCGACGATGCGAGAAACGGCAGCGCTGCAGTGGGCGGGATCGTAATCGCGAATGGCAGAGCTGGTACTGGGATAGGCGAGGGAGGGAGGAGTGATAAGATAAGAGTAGCTGCCGATGGCGAAATTCTGGAATATATTTTGCCAGCAGCTCTAGAACGTGCGCATTGACGCACCACAAAGGAATCCATCCGTTACAACTTCAGCTGGTTGCGTCGCGACGCTGTGTTGGGCCAAACTTTCGTTGTTACCACTCTCGGAGTCGCTGCGAAAACACAGGCTGCCTCCTCGGCGACGGTATCAGTGCGCGTGTTGGCGAACACGACGTCAGATCTGATGAACCTCGTCTAGTCGTTCACTCGTGCCACCCTTAGCTCGTTACAACACTTCGCGCCTGCCCCCCCCGGTGACCGCAACTCCGGTCGACAATGTTACATTTAGAAGCTGGACTGCCATGTTACTATCGATTTTAGGCATGGACGACGTGTCAGAATAATATATAGTTTTATATATTGTTTTGTAACTGCCTGTAGTGTAGACTAGTGTAGTTATATAATGTTCTGTTTTGGTGGTGCACCTTTCACTTCGCCTATATGTACTGCTCGCTCTATAGTGAAACCCCTCCTTCTCTTTTCACTCTCTCGACATTTTCCAACTCACTCCAACTCCTAACTAGCCATGGCTCCTAAGTCACGTTAGTCTCTTCACACGACGCTCGACGATCGATCGTAAGAAGTGAACATGACGTGTCGATCCACATAAGCTTGCCTACCACGTGTCGGTCGCTGCGTGTCGTCGAGATCGACTTGTCGTGTCCGACTGCTCACCGCCGCGCTTACCCGTCCTTTCGGAGACGCACTTCTGCTGATGCGCCTCCCTTCGTCGCTCGCAATTCGCCATACCCGCTAATGGCATCTGCCTTTAACGCGTACAAGCACGACAAGGCCCTGCAGGCGGCACACCAGAAGCAGCTCAAGGCGCTCCTCCGCGAGCCGGGCAACGAGTCGTGCGCCGACTGCGGCGGCCGCTTCCCACGCTTCGCGTCGGTGTCGCTGGGCGTGTTTCTGTGCAACCGGTGCTACGGCATCCACCGCGGCATCGGCGTGCACGTGACGCGCACCAAGTGCGTCGAGCTCGACGCGTGGAGCCCCCGCGAGGTCGCCGCCATGCGCGCCTTGGGCAACCGCCGCGCCGCCGCCATCTGGCACGGTGAGACCGGGGAGGGTGGGAGGTGGGAGGGAGTAAAGATTGAATCGGGACGGGGCTCACTCTGCTGCTGTTTCGTAGCATTCACTTCCGCCCCACTCGTCCGCTCTCCTCTCTCTTTCTCCTCTTCTCTCGCCTCCTGCGCTTCCCATCCCCCTGAAACGTTGCTTTGCCAGATCTCTTCATGCTACCTTTTCCCCCTGTGTTCTCTTCCCCCCCTCTCTTCCTTTCCCCCTCCCTCCCGCCCGTCTCTTCTCCCCCTCGCTCCTCTTTCTCTTGTACCCTTGTCCGCAATCTCCACCATTTCTTGCCCATATCCGCTGCTCTGTGGTCCCTCCCTCCACTTCCACCCCTTGTATCCCTCTCCGCTCCCCTTCTCCCCACTTTCTCTCACACCACACGTGCTGAATCCACCCGTCACCCTGCCAACCAGGGTAAGAGCCCCCACATGAGTGTCAATAAATGCCTTGTGGTGCACCGCACAAGTCCGCTCGCTGCTGCTGCCACTCCTCCCTTGCTGCATGCTCCCTGCCACCTGGAGCGACAGCGCACACATCACATGAGCGCCAGTGGATTCGTTGGGGGCTCCTCCACAGTGCTCTCGATACTTCCCCTCTATCCCTCCCCCACCACACGCACCGTGCCAGTGGGGGTGAGGGCGGCCACATGGGTGTCACAGCTGCCGTTGAGGATCTTCCAATGCCCATACGCTACTCCTACCCCCCCCCCCCTCGACGCAGGCTCGCTGCCAGCGGGAGTGAGGGCGCCCACGTCAGCCTTATCAGATGCGGAGGTGGAGCGGTGGATTCGAGACAAGTACGAGCGTCGCCTCTATTACAACCCCGCTGCTGCTGCTGCTGCCACTTCTGCCACTCCTGCTCCCTCTCCCCCTGCTGCTTCGCCCGTCACTGCCTCCCCTCCCTCCACCACCCCGTCCACTCCGTGCCCCGCCTTCCCACACGGCCCCGCTGCCTCAACCCCGCACTGCTCTCCTGCCTGTCCCCCACAGCCAACCTCAACGCCCCCACCCACTGTCGTAGTGCCACCCCGTGCTGTGAGTGCAAGCAGCACAGGCGGCACGGCGCATGCACGGCAGGGCGTGGATGCGCTCAGCTCAGCCCGCCTGAGGCATCCACCCCCCGCCACCACAGCAGGCTGTGCAGCCCATCACGAGCAGCACACCCTAACAGCTGCTGGGGTCCCTGCAGGGCAGACGAGCCATGCTGCTGGTGTTGGCTCTGGAAGCAGTGGTATCAGCAATGTTCTTTCAGTATCAGGTGCCGGCAGCAGCAGCATGGATCTTGGCCCACGCAAGCAGGCAGCTGCTCCTCCAGATCTGATTGATTTCTCTCAGTGGTAATGTCAGGGCTGTTGGTCTACATGAGCATGACCGATCCGATGTGTTGTAAGGTTCTTGTAAGAAAGCGTTGTTCTCACTACTACGACCAATGTTTATTTTGTGACAACCGACCACCATAATGGCAGTCTCTTTGTGCTTCCCGCTCAGGTCTTGTTACGAGCAGGATTGAAAGGACCTACTGTAAGATTGTGTAGGGGTAATCCACATCAATCATTTGACACACAATGACTTGTATATACCTGGGTGGAGCCCTTCCTATGGGGTTCATGGGCTCGCTTCTGAGTTGTTCACAAACGAGTACAATCTACACCCCGCCGAGCTGGTTTCATCCGCACACTCAAATCGGACGACCAGGCCGTGCCAGGCACGGCGGCGTGTGACGCGCCAACGGGGCACATCCACAAGCGAGGCTGGCCGCGTCGTGGTGTGTGTGGTTCCGCCAATTCTCCCCGCACTGCGCAGGTCAGAACTGTCAAGGCGGTGGGGACGAACAGCAGCGAGATGGAACGTTGCGCGGGGCACCACACCAATCCGAATGATCCCCCATAGGCGCGTTGTTACCAATTTGCACCATCGTGTACCAAGCTGCAACGAGCGATACGCCTTTCTGGAACTAGTGCCTCCCCCTCTTCGATCCACCACGGTTTCCCCTGTCGGACCTACGGAACTCCGGTACATGTCAACTCGCTTGAACAGAGAAGAGGTTTTTCCCGCGTTCATTCGCTGCGTTGCGTTTCAAAGCGGAAGCTACTCATACCACTGTTTACCATGCGGGAAGTCGATTTACCGCACAGAGACAACAAACGAATGGGGGGGACAAAGCACGCGAAGTTGACAAGATGGCTCCAGAACACACCGTGCTGTTCAGCTTTTTTCAATACACGCCACTAGTGCAAAGCGAGCAATATCTCACTAGTGGTCTGTACAGCAAGACGTCTTACCTTTAGTTTAGGCATTTAAATATTTAGAAAGCAGCACCTCGGGGAAGATGTTAACAAAAACTTGGTGCGACTCGTTTCAATCGCTTCGTCGCTTCATAGGACTTCATTCGTAGAAGACTCGTCAGCAGAGGCGTGCATATAGTGTCTGTTCTTACCCCTTCATATTAAGTTAGGATAGCGCCTAGGTTACCTATTACTGTGGATAGTGTTCAGACTCATTTGCGGCGCGAGGACTCCACCCGCATTAATGTAACAAGCGATCAATTTCACAGCTTTCTCTCTTTTCTCCGTTTCTTGCGTCGCTCTCGCCCATCCCCGCCCACGTCACTCGCCGTCGCCCCGTTCGCCAGCTCCATTCGCCTGTCGTCACTTGCGTACTCGCTAATTTCCCGCCCCACCCTACTCTATGCCCACTCAGCGCCACACTCTCTCAACTCTGCGCGGCTTCACTCAACCCCATCTTCACCCTTACTCCCCTTCATGCTTGCGCAATTCTCCCCCCCTTCGTCACCCCAGCCCTCCCCCTCCGCGTGCTCCCCCCGCCATGGGGAACTGCTTCTCCACGCCGCCGCCGTCGCCCAGAAAGCCCCCGCAGCAGCAACCGCAGCCGCGCCCCCCGCCTCCGCCGGCCGCGCGGCCAATCCCCAACGGTCACCCGCCTCCCGCGCCGCCGCACGCTCCGGCGCCAGCGCCGGCGCCACAGCCGGTGTCGCCGAGGCAACCAGGTGTGGCTGCCCCGCGCTCTCTTTTCTGCTCGTCGAACCCTCCCCGCTCGCGTCATTCGGTCCCACTCCATCCACCCTTCCCACTTCCCTGCAACCCCCTCCCCTCCTTCGATCTCGTTGCAACTTCCATTCCACCTGACCTCGTACGCGCGACCCCTCTGTCCCCGTTCTTGCACGCTGGGTGTGAAGCATCACAGCCCTCTCAACCCCACCCACCACACCCGCCTTCCTCTCTCTCTCTCTCTCTCTCTCTCTCTCTCTCTCTCTCTCTCTCTCTCTCTCTCTCTCTCTCTCTCTCTCCTCGCCTCCCGTACCCCCTGTCCCCTACCGCCTCCCGCGTCCCCTCCTCCCTGCCCTGTCCCCCAGCAGCGCCCCCGCCTCCCCCAGCCGCAGCGGGCGGGTACCCTCTGCACAAGTCCCTGGCACCGGGCGTGGCATCGCAGTACAACTACCAGGAGGTGCAGGCCGCCACGCACCCCTTCTCCACCCTCTCGCAACACCTCTCACGCGCCTCAAAACTCTCTCCTCTCTCTCCTTCCCCTCTGCTTCCCTCCCCTTTCCCCACTCCCCATCCCCCCTCCCGCGTTTTCCATGGCCCTCCTCTCAGCAGCGCCCCCGCCCATCCCTGCCGCAACAGGCGGGTACCCTCTCCGCAAGCCCCTGGCGCCGGGAGTGGTGTCGCAGTATTACTACCAGGAGGTGCAGGCCGCCACGCACTCCTTCTCATTCTCCCCTAACCCCCCTCCCGCCTCCCCTCTCAGCAGCGCCCTCGCCCCCCCCAGCAGCAGGCGGGTACCCGTTGCGCAAGTCTCTTGCCCCAGGAGTGGTGTCGCAGTACAACTACCAGGAGGTGCAGGCCGCCACTCAGTCCTTCTCCACAGAGATCGGCCGCGGGGGCTTCGGCGTGGTGTTCCATGGGCGGCTGGCGGACCCCCAGGGCGGCCCGGCACACGAGGTGGCGGTGAAGCTGATGGCGGAGGACCACATCACCAACGGCATCGACAGCTTCATTGTGCGTGCCGTGCACGGGGTCTTGTGCGCATGCACATGCACATGCATGCACGCTCGCATGCACCCACTCACACAAGGAGGGTGGGATGTGAAGTTGAGAGTATGGCGCTTTTCACTGCTCTCCGTTATCCCTACCAGCTGCCTCCCTGCAGCCTGCAGTAACTGCCACCACCCTCATTCTCCCCACGCGCATCGTTCCCCTCGCGCTCCTCTTCCCTTGCTTGCACAGACGGAGGTGGGGGTGATGGCGCGGGTGCACCACCCCAACATATTGCGCCTGGAGGGGTACGTGGTGGGCGCCACGCCCATCCTCATCTATGACTACGTCTCCATGGGGGACGCCTCCACCTACCTCGCTAAAGGTGCGCCTGTGCCTCACCTCCTCGTCTTCCTAAAGGTGCGCCTGTGCCTCACCTCCTCGTCTTCCTAAAGGTGCGCCTGTGCCTCACCTCCTCGTCTTCCTAAAGGTGCGCCTGTGCCTCACCTCCTCGTCTTCCTAAAGGTGCGCCTGTGCCTCACCTCCTCGTCTTCCTAAAGGTGCGCCTGTGCCTCACCTCCTCGTCTTCCTAAAGGTGCGCCTGTGCCTCACCTCCTCGTCTTTCTAAAGGTGCGCCTGTGCCTCACCTCCTCGTCTTCCTAATGGTGCGCCTGTGCCTCACCTCCTCGTCTTCCTAAAGATGCGCCTGTGCCTCACCTCCTCGTCTTTCTAAAGGTGCGCCTGTGCCTCACCTCCTCGTCTTCCTAAAGGTGCGCCTGTGCCTCACCTCCTCGTCTTCCTAAAGGTGCGCCTGTGCCTCACCTCCTCGTCTTCTCCTCCCTACCTCTCCTCCTCTGCTTCTTCCTCCCCTCCTTTTACTCACGTATTCTCTGCCTTGTCTTTTCATTTCCTGCCCCCGTCCTGTCCCCGTCCTGCCGCCCCGGTGCCATGAACCATCTCCTCTCCTCCCTCCTCTCCTCCCCCCACTTCACCTCCCCTCTATTCCCCTCCCCTCCGATCCCCTCCCCATCCCTCCGCTTCCCTCCCCTTCTTATCCATCCTCTCCTCCCCTCCATTCCCTTCCCTTCCCTCCCCTCCCCCTTCCCTTCTCCCTCCCTCCCTCCCCTCCCCCATCAGCGGCGCGGGGCGAGGTGGCGTTCACGTGGAAGCAGCGGGTGGTGGTGGCGCTGGGGTGTGCGGAGGCGCTGACGACCATCCATGCCAACAACTTCGTGCACCGCGACTTCAAGGCCACCAACGTGCTGCTCCGCCAGGTGGGGAATGCCACCATGCTGCACCGCACTGAACCGCTCTGGGTTGGATAGAAAGGGGCAGTTTGAGCGGTGACGAGCATCCCCGACAACAACTTGGTGCACCGCGACTTCACGGCCACCCACGTGCTGCTCCGCCAGGTGCGCGGCAGGGGGAGAGGCAGGGGGAGAGGCAGGGGGAGAGGCAGGGGGAGAGGCAGGGGAAGAGGCATGGGGAGAGGCAGGGGGAGAGGCAGGGGGAGAGGCAGGGGGAGAGGCAGGGGAAGAGGCAGGGGGAGAGGCAGGGGGAGAGGCAGGGGGAGAGGTAGGGGGAGAGGCAGGGGGAGAGGCAGGGGGAGAGGCAGGGGAAGAGGCAGGGGAAGAGGCAAGGGAAGAGGCAGGGGAAGAGGCAGGGGAAAAGGCAGGGGGAGAGGCAAGGGGAGAGGCAGGGGGAGAGGCAGGGGGAGAGGCAGGTGAAGAGGCAGGGGAAGAGGCAGGGGGAGAGGCAGGGGGAGGGGCAGGGGGAGAGGCAGGGGGAGAGGCAGGGGGAGAGGCAGGGGAAGAGGAAGGGGGAGAGGCAGGGGGAGAGGCAGGGGGAGAGGCAGGGGGAGAGGCAGGTGGAGGGGAAGGGAGGGAGGTGGGACGGGGAGGGAGGTGGAAGGGGAAGGGAGGTGTGTTTCGCTGCTCCAAGAGGTGGATGGAGGGTAGAGGGAGGGAATTCTCCTGGGAAGCCTTCTGGTCTGTCCATGAACACTGTCTCTTTGAGACGTCCTTGTAGGAAGGCGGAGGAGGCATCCATGGATTTGATCTCAAAGTCTTCTCGAGCTGCAACATCCATGAGCGTTCGAATGGTGGGAGGTTTGGATGTGGGGGAGAAGATTAGGTCGAAGTCGCGGTACCGTTGCTGGGTGAAGCCCTTGGCTACGTAACGCGCTTTGAACACCGGTGCCTCGTCTGGGAGCTGTTTTACACGGAACAACCACTTGCCCCCGACGATGTTGACTCCTGGAGGTGGAGTCTCGTCGTTGAAGGAGTGGTTGCGAGTGAATGCTGCAATCTCCGCGTCCATGGCAGCACGCCATTCGGCAGCATGAGGGCCTGAGAGAGCCTCTTGGACGGTGAGAGGGATAGGGATGGTCGGGTTCTCCGCGAGGTTGAGGGAGGGTGAGCCAGTGATATCGGGGAAGATGTGTGAGAGCTGAGGAATGACTGCATGGAGATCACACAGCTCCTCATGCCTGTCTTCTAGAAGGGTAGAGGGCACATCCCCCCTAGCAGGAGGAGGCGGTGTGATCGATGTGTATCGAAGAACCATTGCGAGTGGAAAAGCAGCGCGATGGGAGCGGGTGCCATGAGCCACCGGTGAGGAGGGTGGGGCAGGCGGTGTCGGAGAGGGTGACTTAGGAGGCTTGGGTGGGGGAATGGGCCGCCGGCGGTACGTGATCAGCTCGGGCGACTGTGGGAGAGCGGGTTCCTCTGTGGTGGGGGGAACTGGGGGAGGAGGTGGGGCCGGAGGGTGGGACCGCCGATGGTAGGTGATAGGTGCGCTCGGAGGGGGCGGTGCAGCGGGAAGTGAGGAAGGTGAGGGGGGGGGCGGAGCAGCTGCCGAAGACACCGGTGAGGCCGGGTCAGAGACCTCAGAGGGAGATGGTGGGATGGCAGGAGAGGGAGGAGGTGAGGGGGCAGGAGCAGGCGGGAGGTCGGGAGGCACGTCAAAGTCTGCCCACACAAGGAAGGGTGGATCAGGGAGAGGGTCCCGTCCTGAAGGGGAGTAGAATGGGCGGGTCTCATCAAAGACAACGTCGCGGCTCCTGACCAACTGTTGAGTGGAGGGATTGAGGAAGAGGTAGTCAGGTGAGTCGGCGTTGTGCCCAAGGTAGATGCACGTTTGAGTCTTGGGACCGAGCTTGCCACCGTTCTGGCGTCGAGCCTGAGGGTTGAGGAGGACATAGGCGGTGCATCCCCAAACGCGAAGAGAGTGAGCAGTGGGCGTTTTCCCGAGCCAGAGTGTGGTTGGAGTGGTGTCGGGAAGGTGCGGATGGGGGTAAAGGTTGTAGAGGAGGGCGGCGTGGTAGAGAGCGTATCCCCAGAGAGAGTGTGGAGCGTTGGAGTGGCTAAGGAGGCACCGAGTGATCTGCACTAGGGTGTGGTTGCGGCTCTCAGCTATGCCGTTCTGTTGAGGGCTGTCAGGGAGGGTGAAGTTTTGCTGGATGCCTTCGGAGGAGCAGAAGGCTTTGAGCTTGTCGTTGCAAAATTCACCCCCCCCATCCGAGTGAAGGCGCTTGACCTTGCGGTCAAAGGTGGTCTATGCCTGCTTGACCCACGCCATGATGACCTCTGGAGCCTCAGCCTTAGTGTGGAGGAGGTGAACAGAGACGTATCGTGAGTGGTCATCCACGATAACTAGGAAGTAGCGATATCCACCTCGTGCAAGAACAGGGGCAGGGCCCCAGACGTCCATGTGCACTAGGTCCAGTGGTGCCGCTGCGATTGTGGGTGAGGCAGTGTGGGGCTGTTGGCGCAGTTTGCTCTTGGTGCAATCAAGGCACGTGGGAGCGGGTGAGTCAGGTGGTGGAGGAAGTGTGGCTGGCAGGCCGAGAAGAAGTTTCTTGGAGGCCATGTCAGCAAGCGTGCGGAAGTTTGGGTGCCCTAACCGATGATGATAGAGGATGGTCGGGTTGGAGAGGTTGCGACATGTGCATGGTGTGATGGGAGCCTGTGCTTGGGTGGTTGAAACCTGTGGGAGAGGAACGCGTAGCGTGTAGAGGCCGGTGCTATTGAGGGTGAAGCGGGCCAAGACCTTGTTGGTGAGTGGGTCAATGATGTCGCAGTGGTCCTCATTCTCCGAGAAGATGGTGCGTAGCCCTGCTTTCTGAATTTCTGTTTGAGCCACTAGATTGTGGCGTAGTGAAGGCACGCACATGCCAGTGACGGTGCCGGAAGGGAAGGCTGGGCATGGGACTGTGGAGGTGCCCTTGGCTAGGGTGGTGAAGCTGGAGTCAGCTCCCAAGAGAGGGATAGGTGCTGGATAGGGTTTGAAGGAGAGTGTCTCCTTGAGCACAGTGTGAGTGGCCCCGCTGTCGAGTGTGAACTCTATGTACTGTGGTGCCTGTGATGAGTCGATGTACTGGGAAGTGGCTTCATTAATCATGGCAGTGCCAGGAAACAACAGGTTGATACGCACATCAACAGGAGCACTATCACTAGCACTAGCCGAAGAGGGGTCCTGGACCTCAACGAGATTGGCCTTACGAGCGCGCATCCAGTTTGGCGGCTTCTTGTCAACCCCGTGGATGGCATACCACTCGTCGTCTTTCTTTTTGAAGCACGTGGCAAGGGGGTGGTTAGTGCCACCACACACTTGTCCCTTGCGGTTGCCATACTTGACGACGTAGGTGCACGGAGAAAAGCGGTTGCGCTGAAAAGGCGCCGAGGCTAAGGCCGCTGCAACACTTGCTGGGGGCATGGGAGCACGGATGGCGTATGCCTTGGCCTGAGCCGTGGAGTCTTTCTCGGCAGAGAGGAGTGCGGTGGAGACCTTAGCAAAGGTGAGGTCTTCCGCTGAGAGCGTGAGGAGCATCTTCCTCGTGACTTCATATGCCGAGGAGAGACCAACAAGAAGGGCGGCTGCAGGGGCTTGTTCGGGGAAGACTATACCCAGCTCCTTGAGTTCACCATGAATGGTCTGCACCTTGGCGATGTAGTCAGCCATTCCTGAGCAGTCCTCAAGACGGACTTGAAACATGCTGGGGATGAGAATCGCCACTCCGACCGCCGTCTTGTTCATGAACCGATCCTGGAGATACTTCCAGATGGCGTTGGAGGTAGGGTAGTTGTAGAACGTGTTGACAAGTTCGGGAGGGGTGGAGGCAATGAAGACGCTGATGATGGCAGCATCGGCCTTCTCCCACTTCCGGTACTTCTCAACAGCTTCTTCGTACGCCATCACGTCAGCATCATTTGAAGATTCGGTCGGTTCACGGGGAGGAGTGGGTTGTTTCCCTTTGCCACGGTTGAGGAGGACGTCCTTGAGGTCAAGGCCCTGCACGTCACGGCTCAGGAGGTGCTTGTCAACTCCGTAGCTCCATGCCTTGAAGTTGGAGCTAGAGCCATCGGCTTCAAGGCGGAGCGGGGTGATGGGGTTCGCCATGGTGGAAGACGAGAAAGCCATGGTGGAGACCCCTTAACTTCTCGTGCGGAGCGCCGCTCTTAAGTCACCGATAGGAACTTGAGGTTTGGGGTTTCCAAAGGAGATTTTGAAGAACCGGAGGTTTAGGGTTTACGAAAGAGAATATTGATGTTTAGGGTTTTTGAAGGAGAATTTGACTGAGACGCCAATTTAGTGTCAACTACCTACTAATCCTATTCCCACACACCCCCCCACACACCACCCTCAGCTTCGCGGCTACGCTGCTACTCGGCTTCGCGGCTACACGGCTGCTCGGCTTCGCGGCTACGCTGCTGCTCGGCTGCGTTGCTGCACCTGTTCAGCTGCGGGAAAGAGGGGGGATGGGGGTAGGAGTGCAGATGCGGGGCGACGGGCGGCAGCCCGAAGATGACGCTGCGGGGCGACGGGCGGCAGCCCGAAGATGACGCTGCGGAGCGACGGGCGACGGCCCGACGAGAAGCTGCAGGGCGACGGGCGGCAGCCCGAAGAGAAGCTGCAGGGCGACGAGCGACGGCCCGACGAGAAGCTGCAGGGCGACGGGCGGCGGCCCGACGAGGAGAAGAAGTGACGAGAGTGACGAATTGATGAAAACGAGTGTTAGGTTAGACCGCCGACGATTCGCTTACCAGAGAAGTTTCCGTCGATGGTGACGGGAAGATGTGGCGGGAGAAATTCCGCCGATGAATGTCGCGAATCAACGGCGACGAGATTGGCGATGGCTTCCCCGAGGTTTGCGGGACAAGTATCCGCAGAGATGAGAGGATCACGATCCGCGTATGCGGTTGAGTTGCTCTGATACCATGTTAGAACTTGAGCTTAGAATCGATGCTATAGTAGTGAGCTCAAAGCTCTTTAAGTACATCCGGAATGAGCAAGGTAGGGATGAGGAGGGAATCAGGAGGCAATCCTAGGGAATCAAGGGTAATCCCAAGGCAATCTCCAATTGGTGGGTTGGAGATTGCTTGGAGATTACATTTGGGTTTGGTTGGGATGTGGGTGTACATCCAACCAAACACAAAGTGCAAACTACACTAATCTAGGATATAAAAGTACAAGTACAAAATGTGAGATTGGGGCCTAACACCAACATCAACATGCTGTTGCGAGAAATGCCAGGAGGAGAGTGGCAAGGGAGAGGGGAGGGGACGAGAGTTGAGGTGTAGGAGAGTGCGGTGAGGATGGGAGAGCAGAGCCAGGTGGATGGACCTGGCCTCCTCCCTCCCTCCCCACTCCTCCCTCCCCCCTCCTCCCTCCCCACTCCTCCCTCCCCACTCCTCCCTCCCCACTCCTCCCTCCCCACTCCTCCCTCCCCACTCCTCACTCCCCCCTCCTCCCTCCCCACTCCTCCCTCCCCACTCCTCCCTCCCCACATCACAGTGATGCCTCCTCACTGTGCTGTGCGCACCTCCCTCCGCACTCCGTCATCGCCACCCCTCTGGTCCATCCACGTCAGCATGTCTCCGCGGTGCAGGCAGAGAGCTCACCTCACGCCACTCGTCCCTCCCCCCCCAATTCCCCTGCTCCCCTCCTCCCGCCCCCTCGCCCCACACAGGACCTCACCCCGGTGGTGGCGGACTTTGGGTTGGCGAGGGCGGTGGACGATTGGAAGACGCACGTGCAGACGAGGGTGATGGGGTCCGTGGGCTACATCGACCCCATCTACTTCGACTCCGGTCAGTGCTGTGCTTCACTCCCAAGGAGAAAGGGGGGCTCGGGGGGTGTCTGTCTGGGGCATGGGATGGGCGTCCTGTGATGAGCGCCGGGGGCTCTCCTTCCTCCGGCGCTATACTGGCATCCTCGGGCAATGGCTTCACTAAGGCGACGGTGCTTGCTGGGAGGGGAGGTATGGGGTACAGCAACCCCGTCTACTTAGAGTCCCTCCAGTGGGGCCCCATGCACGCTGTCATGCACCCTCCTGCGCACTTCATTCTACATTTCGTGCATCAAATTTTCCCGGGCACTGGTTGACTGCAAGGCAAGGGTGGTGCGGTGTATCGGCCCCATCTATTTTGGTTCCAGCCAGTGATCCTGTGACCCCCTACTCCGCCCTAGCTTCACACGCTACATGTCTCGGGCAATGGGTTGATCAAAGGGCGACGGCCATGGGGTCGGTGGGTTACCTCAACCCCATTCACTTTATCGCTGGCCACTGCCCTCTCGCTCACTGCATTTGTTGTTCTCTCAGTCTTGTTTGCGCCGAGTCACTCGAAGTCCTACTCAAGGGCCGTGCGAGGGGTTGAGGACCACCACAGTCCATCTACTTCCACTCTCGTCACTCACACCCTTTGCCTTGCCCTAAGCTCAAGCACCCTTCCATTCCCACTGGACCCACCCACATGCCATGTCCCACCCACATACCATGTCCCACCCGCATGCCATATCCCACCCAAATGCCATACCATGCTGTTTAGTAAACTCCAAATTCACCTCAACATCATGCTCCCCATCCAATTCCTCCTCTCCACACCTGCCTCCCCCTCCGCCCCTCTCCCCCCCTCCAGGCATGTTGAGTCGCAAGTCAGACACGTACACGCTTGGCATCCTGCTTCTGCTCACCTGCTGTCCCCTCTCCCCCCCCTCCAGGCATGTTGAGTCGCAAGTCAGACACGTACGCGTTTGGCATCTTCCTGCTGGAGCTGGTGTCGGGCTGCTCGGCCCTGGACGCGCGGTTCAAGGACCTCCGCAAGCTGGTGACGGCCAAGGACTTCCCCGACCCCACTCTCGTGGTGGACCCGCAGCTGCAGGGCCAGTGGCAGCTCAAGCAGGTGCTCGTGGCGTTCACACTCATCAAGTTCGCCATCTTCTTTGACTGGGAGCACCGGCCCGGCATGGATGTGCTCCGTGATAAGCTAAAGAACCTCATTAATGACATGTGAGGGGGAGGGAGCGGGGTTGAGGGGCTAGGAGTGTTGTATTGGTGAATGTGGGGGTGCTGGTAGGCTAGAACGGGTGCATGTTGTTAGAAAGTCAATGTAGAAATTATTTAAGCTCATGTAGAGGGAGTGTGTTGCTCATGATTAGTGTGAAGGCTGAGTTTGTACATGTATAATATGATAAAATTGTCCGCATGCATGGCAAATTGTGCTCGAAGTTGATGTGGGACTAAGAGAGTGCTGGCGTGGAGAGGCACAACAAGAGTAATATGTATATTTTCAAAAGCTGTAACGCTTTTTAAAATTATGTATTTTGAAAGCGAAGCTGCCTGTAATGTAGGATTTGGCAGCGTCGAGCCACGCTAAACGCCCGTTTTGGAGTACAAAACGTGGGCTGGAGGTCATTCCCCTCCACCCACGTCTCTCATTTTCAGACGGTTTAGCCAATCTTCCCACCCACCCCCCCTCGAAAGCAGGATAGCGTTGATATCATAGAGGCATATTATTGTAATGACGCTGCTTGGATTTCAATTGTACTAAACCCATTTGAAATGAGACGATGCCAATTGCTACATGCAAGAAAGCAAGCTTTCTAAATACTCTGTTTGTGTCACCACATGACAAGTGCTTGAAAGGCTTTGGCTGGCTGTGACGGATGACACTAACAGCAACATTTTTATATAGTGGCAGCAAATTAGTGGACAGCATAGTAGTCGGCCAACAGCGATGCGTCATGCGCATACCCGCAAGAAGCGGTATCGTTGAATTATCAGGGTCGACTCATCCGCCGTGGGGATTGTCAGCAAAATCATGGCTGCAGGGGCCTCGTTCACACTCCCTTCACCTCCCGTTCTCGTGCCTCCCTTAGATGATGACATGGCGGTGGCGATGGCCGCCGCCTACATAGTAAACTCCCCCTTTCCGCCGTTCACCATATCTCGCCATCCGCACGAGCCGTCTTATTTCTCCATATCCCCTCACGCATCGCTTCCACTTACCGTCGGCGCCTCGCGCTATCTCGCTTCAAGCGCGCGCTCGTTGCATTTGCCACCCACAACAGCAGCCGAGTCAGCGCTGGCGCTAGCTTAGCGCGGGTCGCCACTCTGCAGAGCGCAGCCTCGCCTCCCCCTCGTCAATTGACCCGTCTCCTCGTCGCCATGGCACGCAGGCCGCGTTCCGCCCTTCGGACTGGCCTCGCCACAGCCCTCGCCCGCCTCATGGCTCTCACGATGCTGGCTGGCGCGAGCGCGGACGAGTTCTTCAACGTGTACGACACGCTGGTGACACCCACAGGCCCCACAGCTGAGCTGCGAGGCATGGCGTTCGCCACTGATCACGTGCCCAACGTCATTCCGCACGGACCTGTGTGCAAGTACATGCCACGGGGACTGGGTGCCCACGCGGACCAAAGTCAACACGGGGCTCGCGTGGGGCGCGTATTTGCAGCCTGACGGCGTGTGCAGCAGCGTCTCCTTCCACTCCGCCCCGGGCTGCGCCGCGCCTCCCAGCGCCACGTACCTGCGCCCTCCAACCAATCCCCCCCCCATGACGTGAGCACAAGATCGTTCCTTTCAACAAACCACTATGAGCTGATTGTTTCTCCCCTGCGCTTTCCTGTGCTCGTCTGCCATGCCCTCGCTGCTGCTGCTCTCTGGATGATTTATGTCGTCGAAATGCCAGCGTCAATGAGATGCGAGGAGGGTAAGCGTGCAAGCCTGCCCCCGCACTCTCTTCCAAGGTGTGACGCACTTGCCTGCCATGGTAAGGGCAATGCGTCTACCAAGGCCCGTCGCCCGCACTGCGCTGCACCGTACTTGACACCTATGACTCCCCACAGCTTGCCACGTGCTGTGGTGTGGTGGTGAGTGGCGTAGTGCGATCATGTGCTGCCAGAAGGCTGTTGCTGAGCTTCATTCGACATCTTAGTTTGGAAAGACGCAGCCAGGACGCAGGACGCTCGTCGAATTTTTTTCGGGCGACCCAAAAAAAAATCGATTGCGATTTTGGCATTCCCACCCCTCCCCTCCCCAAGGGTTACAAGTTGGAGGAGGACCAAGGTTAAAAAATACGACCGTATTTTGTAATTTACGGTCGTAAATTACGGTAAAAAACGGTTTGATGTTGCAAAATTAGGTTGGTTAAAAAATACGGTCGTATATTACGGCCGGAAGTTTGAAACCGAGTTTGTGTATAGCGAATTTCAACATTTCCCAACCGTCAACCTCTTCGTGAGAATTTTTGTGGCCCCAAACCCACTCGAGAGTGTTTTTTTCCGGAGTCGCGAGTGTCAGCAAAATCTCGAGGCGCGACATTGTGCATTTTGGTGACAGTTTAACAGGTCTCTTGTCCATTCGCACACTCGTTTGTGTATTTCGCCGAATCGCAAATGTACAAATTTGTGCGACGCGGCAAATTGTACATTTGGCGAACGGATAACACAAGTCTACCCGTTTCGCCAAGTCGGTGGGTCGTTTCGCGGCCCGTTCGTTTTTTCCGCCCGCATGCGCTACTGAACTCAATTTCGACACTGCAAAACCATTCGAACCAATAGCGTTTGTCCAATCTTCATCCCTTCCATCTAATCCCTTCTGCATATTCCATTCGCCAACGCAAGACCACCAAGTTAAACCAGGGCAAAAGCCACCATTCTGTAGTGTAGTATGTTGTCGCCTTCTTTGTCATCGTTGTAAGCTTTCTAGGAATTTATGGAAAAAAAAATTCCGCAAAAAATGTCCATTTAAAAAACGACCGTATTTTTGCCAAAACCACCGTAAATTACGACCGTAATTTGCGAGCCGTAATTTACGTTTACCGTATTTTTGAACCTTGAGGAGGATGGGGAGAGGGAGGTGGACGAGGACGACCTGGCAGTCGACGACTACAAGGACCAGGAAGCGATGGACGAAGAGAAGGAGAGCGAGGATGATGGGGATGCGTGATGGTTGACTTGATGCAGTGCAGTGCTAGTTTAGTCTGCATGGTCGTAAATGGTTGGATTAAACGTAATGTGTGTGTGTGTGTGTGACCTTGTGAAATGTGTGACACGTGACTCACCTTAATCTCAAATTTTGGGGGAAAATTTTGTGGTTGGGGAAAATTTTGTGGTATAACACCCCCCCCCTGTCAGAATGTTATCTTATGCTCTAGCCTGTAGTGGGGTGCTCTATAGCAAGTACAACCCTTCTAGGGTTTGCTATTTGTATCCTCATTCTTGCTAGTGCAATCCTCTTCTTTTCTTCTAAATTTGTCATGCTATCAGAGCAGGTCGATCCCTTTGGATCGATCCTGTGGGTGGGTTACCACCTCCTGGCTTCCACTGTCAACGGGAGTTGTATGTTGGCCCCGTCCACGCTTGGGCGGAGCCGACATGGTGGTCGGGTGTGAGGGGAGCAGCCGACCTGCAGCAGTGGGCGAGCGGGTCGACGAGGAGGTCGACTTGCACGGTGACCACTGCACGGGCGCCGACTTCGAGGTGGTGCCAACGTCGGGGAGGTCGACTTAAGCGTCGACCTGCGGAGGACGTCAACTTGATGACGTCGACTTGGGAAGCCGACTTCGGTGGTCGGCTGATGTGCTGGTCGACCTGCGGGTGGTCGACTAGACCCGGTGGTCGACGAAGGAGGGGCCGGCGTCGAGCAGTCGGTCGTCGAGCGGTCGATCGTCGAGCAGTCGGTCGTCGAGCAGTCGGTCGTCGAGCAGTCGGGCGTCGAGCGACATGGTCGTCGACCAAGGGGCATGGTCGACCCGGTGAGGTCGACAACAAGGTGGTCGTCGACTTGGGAGGTCGACGGACACGTACGGGAGTTGCTGGTCGATGTGGTTGCCCAGTCGACCAGGTTACCTGGGTGACGAAGTGCTGCGGAGGAGTGCGACGGTTGCCCAGGCGAAGTTGGCGAGACCGACCTCGGTTATGGTATCCCGAGGTCGTCGTGGCAGATCAGAGGCAGCCGTCAGCCTGTTGCTGACGTGGTGTGTGTGGTGTGCAGGTGATGAGGCTCGGCCTACCAATCACCTGCAAAGCGGGTGCACTGCTGGCACACCATCGACCTGAGGCATTAGCACGCTGTCGACTTTGCTCTGCTGGAGCGCGGTCGACCAAGTCGTGTTGGAACGCGGTCGACCATGCTGTGCTGGCAGCTGACCAGCCCGAATGCTAGCTCTGATGTAGTCTTGCATTGCCAACTTCATTGTACCAATTGTTGTGATCTTTTCTTAGTGAAACTCTTGCCAAATTGCCCCGTGAACTAGCAAGTAGTGTGAGCACTAGGAAAACGTCTAAGGACCAACGAACGCAGAGATCACACGAGCACACGTGCCTAGCCAGTAGTCTAGCTCCCGTTGTAGTAGTTATCTCCGCATCCGCTGCACCTTTTTTCTTCCCGCCGTGCGCCCCGAGGCGCGCGGCGATTTTCTGCCCGCCGTGCGCCCCGAGGCGCGCGGCGGTTTTCTGCCCGCCATGCGCCCCGAGGCGCGCGGCGGTTCTCTGCCCGCTGTGCGCCCCGAGGCGCGCGGCGGGCTTCTGCCCCGTCGTTCGCCGCGTCGCCTTCTGGAGGCGCCGCGACGGGCGACGGGGACCCGTCGCGGCCCCGCCGCCCCACTTCGCGGCCCCGCCGCCTCACGTCGCGGCCCCGCCGCCTTACATTTGCGGCCCCGCCGCCCCACTTCGCGGCCCCGCCGCCCTACACCTGTGGCCCCGCCGCCCTCCTTGCGCCCCGCGGCCCCCGAAGGAGCCGCGACGGGCGACGGGAGGATTTACCTGGGGGAGGGGGGCGAGCGCCGCCATCCCACCCTGCCTACCCGCCATCCCACCCTGTCTGTGTTAGGGTTTGGGGGTGGCAAGCAGGGGGTGGCGAGTATGGGGGTGGCACTTCCTCATTCCTCCCTTTGCTCCTCCTCCTCCTTCGTCTCCGATTGCTGCAGCTGTCGCTGAGGGGGGTGGATGTGTGGGTGACTGGGGTTTAGGGTTTAAGGGGGGTGCGTGGGAATGGAGCTAGGGGTGTAGCAGCGGGTGTGTGTCGGGGGAGTGGGACTGTTTGAGGAAGTTGCACGGAGGTTGCCGTCGTGTCGCCAGCAGCACCTGTAGTCCGGGGACTTCGTCCGGTAGCCTAGTCGTAGCCAGCTGTGCTAGCCGCCCGTGGGTCCGTTGTTCGTCTGCCGCTACTTTAGCCGCGGGGCGTGTTACTCCAGTATTCCGGGGGCTTCGCCCGGTAGCCGCTGTGCCAGTCTGCCTCCTGGTGCCCGTGTGTCTGCAGCTTCAGCCGTCGCCTCCTATCTCCTCTCCTCTCACTCTCTCTCCTCCTCCTCACTTGCCCGTTGTGACTACCACTAGCTTTGCTCATAATTGTGAACTTTAAACTATTGCTTCTTTAACTAGTAGTTATCTCCGCATGGTGCGGTGAGCGTGGACGGCACACGACTTACCTTTTAGTCAGGTCGACGTAGACACCACTTACCTATTTCGTGGTTAGAGGCCGGCAACTGTGCGGTAGTCACTATGGTAGGAGCCGTAGGTGACGCGGGGGTGGTGGACACCCTGGAGGCACGGTTGGAGAACGCGAGGAGGAAGCATGAGGCCAATTAGTATGGCGACCTGCCCTGGGCGGTCGTCGAGGCTGGACTCCGCTCCACGTGGGCGACGGAGCACCTGTCTCGACCCGCTTCCCCTCGTCCGGTGAACAATGAAGGCGGCGTCGACTTGGGCGTCAACAACGGTGGTGGTCAGGTCGGCAGCAGTGCTGGAGGCACGTCGAGGCAGAGAGGTGTGATACACGCCGGTGAAGTCGGCGGCGTTCAGGCGCGAGGGATGCAGTCGTCGGCGGCTGCAGGCTCCTCGCAGGGTGACGTTGGAGGTCGACGGAGTGGGCTGTCGCCGATGTCGGCGTCACAGGTGACAGCGGGTGGGATCGCGCCGAGCTACGGCTACTTCAAGTTCACGCCGGACAGGATCTCGGTCACCCCCCCACTGGTCGGTCGACCCGACATTCTCACCTGGAAGGAAGCCATCGAGCCCTAGCTGGAGATGGCCGGGTTGATCGGCTTCGGCCGAGGGACCGTGGCGACGCCTGGGGAGCACCACCCCGACTTGCGGGCGGAGTTTCGCGCCGTGCAGCTGCTGACCTTCACGGTCATCTCGCGGTGCTGCTCACCAGGGGTGCAGATTGCCTTGAAGTGGTGCCGAGAGTACATCGACGCCGGCCACCGGGCGTGGCACTTCATCGAGTCGACGTACCAGGTCACCGACGACCTTTTCATCGCCCAGCTGGAGGGACAGCTGACGCACCTGCGTATGGGTGACGATGAGACAGCGACCGACTACTGCAACCGGGCCCGGCGAATTCTCGCCACCATCAGGATGGCCGGCGCGCAGTACTCCACGGCGTCGTACATCACCCATGTCATGCAGGGACTCTCGAGCAGCTACAACCTCCTGAAACGACTGTCCATGGCGCCG